AGATTTCATCATGTATGTAAAGTCAGCATACGATGAGAAACTGCAGCTACCCAGTCACCCATACACTTGACTGTTCAGCCCACAGTCGCTCACTGGATCACGAGACCTGTCTCTTCATCATGCCCACAACCACGTCACATTAAGGCGACTCATCAGACGCCGATTGTCTGCACCGTCTAGTGAGCGTACCGACCACTCACGTGCTGACGCGCCCAAGTACGCGCAAACGGACCCGAATGCAGTCAGCGCACATAGACTCGCGCGCGCGCAGGGAGCAAGGAGTCAGCCAAGCGCTCCAAATCCACGCACAATTATGGAATACGTGAAGCAGCCAAACTGCGGAGGAAACACGTTCCCGCTGTCCGGACTTCTACCAAGGAACTCACACACAATAAGTTTCCTGTTGACTTGCTCCACATTTTATATTGCCTTTGTTTTATACATGCTGCAAATCTTTTCTGTAAACAACTGTCAATCATACTAAAAACTTTTAATAGTGCATACACCTGATTTGCATATGGATATCATCACCTGTGCACTAATAAGATCAACAAGCAGTGTGCATCTATAAAATTGACCAGGTTCACTCAAGCACCGGATACCAGACCCAAAATTGGTACTGCTTACATCTCGAAGAAATATTCCAGCCGGTCCCAAACATAACGTAACTCGACGAATTATCAGATGTCAAGCGGAAGTGAGCGTGCGAGCAGACGGTGAAGTCTGGTGGACACAGAAGTCAAAGAAACGGAAGAGGCCCAGAAAGCCGGCAATGCCCGAAGATTATTTCAGTTGATCCAAGCGACCGGCCTCCGGACACTACCTCTGTGAGAAACCATCAAGGACCAGAACTGATTGAACATCTTGAATAAAGAAGGACGCCTCGACCGATGGGCCGAATAATTCGAACAACAATTGCCATGGTCACCAGCTGGCACCCGTATGGAGCCCACAGGTGACGTAGAACCCTGGACGGTGAACGTGGAACTACCTACGGCCTCGGAGGTTTACGACTGCATATGTTCTCCCAAGCGCCACCGAGCCTCTGATCCGGATGATCTCTCACCCACACTGTTCGAAGATGGGGGCGAAGTCCTCAGTCAGTGCTTGTCTGATCTGTTTGCTTGCATTTGGAAAAAGGAGTCTGTCCCAGACAACTGGGAAGAGTCGG